GTGTGGATACAGCTGAAGAGGAAGTGTTGGCAGGGACAAAGACGTAATAAGCATAACATCACTGAAGGATAGAGAGACAAAGAAACTAGAAGGAAAAGGGGCTTAGTGAGGAAAGGCATGGAGGCATGTACTTTCCAATCACTTAAAAATTTTGCCAGGAGAGGGCTATGGTCATGTTTCACTTCTCTGCTCCTCGATAGTTTTGGTCAAAGGGATAAGAAACCTGCATATCTTATTCAAACTTGATTTCTAAAATGACAGAATAAAGCAGAAAAGCATTAGATTACCACTTTTCCTTATATCCTTTGAGCCCTCCAAAAGAAGCAAAATCATAAAACCAACAAAAAGTCAATACATATTCTACCAGCTGCTGCAAGAAGAATGCCACAAAAACATCTCTAAATTAAAGTTTGTATTTATATTTCTATTGTTAGGATCACTATGAAATTTGCTTCCATGATAGACTCTTCTGTAATTATAGGTATGAAAGTATCAATGACAGTAATTAGGACCAAAGGATCAAACCAAATCAATGTTTAGAGCTGTAATGGAAGTTTTCTCATGTCCCTAATGACTAAAATTCTGCCTCTCAATATGATTGGCACAAGAACCGACCACTTGGACGACTGAATTAATTTTTATAAAATCAGTAATTATATATCATGGAGACATGTCTAGTAGTTAGACATAAAGAGAAAAATTGCCAGATCGTGAATCGGCAAAAAATTCTTAACGAAGGGAATTTTAGAATTTCCATCTTGGGGATAACTTTATACCTGAGGTGACCTCTGCTCTGGCTTGCAGAGAGAGTCACTGGTGTGCTTCCTTCTGGGTCTGCATTCTCCACTTTGGGCCACATACGCATACCAATATTGGCAGAATTTGCATTGCAGAATGGTAACTAAGACAGGCAACGGTCTCCACACAGAAGGTGGGGAAAAGATGGAGAAACAGAGGACAAGGTCCAACTTTATTTGGGGCCAAACATCACACAGCTTTGGCAGAATAAGGCCTGCCTTGCTCTGCATTTTGAGAACATGGGAAGCGAGGTCTCCCACCCCTTCTGCACCACCATCTGCCTCAACCCTGCTCAGGGAGCATACATGACAGTCATCTCTAAAAAACTGCAGTATTTCGAATTTTGATATCTGCTATGTAATGGGAAAAATATTGCCAGAATACAGTATTTGTTTGTGTGTGTGTGTGTGTGTGTGTATACAGTATTTTGTGTGTGTGTATATATATAAATATATATATGTGTGTGTATATATATCCAAATATATATATATATGTATGTATGTATGTGTGTGTGTATATATATAGGATACATATGTACACACATACAAAATACTGCATTTTGGCAATACACATATATTTGTATTGCCTATATACACACACACACACACACATACACACACATATATGTGCGTGTGTGTATATATATATATATTTAAGCCAGCTGGGGAATGGGTTTGTAATGGCAATGTCATTGTTTGTAATGGAATTGTCATGTTTAATCTTGTATAAGTTACAAGATTACAAACAAAACACCATAAGAACCCATCCCTTAACTCAAAAGAGTTGAAATATGTAGAATTAAGTAGGGCCTAGTAGTATAGACAGGATCAACAATATTTATGTATTGTTTAATAGAAAACAATATGCCTCAACTAATAGTTGTGATTGCTTCTCTCAAACATAGGCCATGAACAGAAGCTAAGTGATTGCTCTTCAGCCACAGATTCCAATAAAAATTCTCATTGAATTCAATTGGCCTTTCGGGTATTAACTGCTAGTGTGTGTTTTCTTGTATATGTTATATCTTCCCATTGTAATTGATTTAACCTGTGGGCACTTTAAGGTGACCATTGTGTCTGTGGCTAAACAGGAAAAATATGGCTCATATTAGAGCTCAGGACCGGGAAATCCTGACTCCAGGGTTTGGAGAAATAAGAATGCTGCTATTACAAGGTTAGCATTTATAAGTGCTGAATACTCTAACCAAATATTTGTAACCTTCGCATTCTGGCTGTCAGAGGAATACACCTGCATTTCATTACCTGACTCCCTGAAGCTCCACAGAAAGACTTGAAAATCAGACATACAAAAAAGAGTCTTTTTGATCTTTTCTGTAGAACTCTCAATGTATTTGAGGGGAGGTACAAATAATAAGTTTGTATTCAGTCCTGAAAGACTCAACAGATGACTGTCTCTGGATGCATAAACTAAGTGGTGGTAAATTCAGACCTGAAGATGTAGCCCCTTTACACTGGTGACAGGGAGTAGCTCTCCCTCTTACTACCTGAAGTTTCTCAGCAATGCAAACTCTCAGGTTCAGAAGAGAGAAGAAACTCAACTGTCTTCTTTTGGGAAAGTTGGACAGATAGAAGAGCAAAGAATTATTTAATAAAATGTGAGTTTGAGTTCCATCCCTTCTACTTAACCACTATAGGTCTCCACTTCTCAGAATCTTTAAATCCTGGTCTCAAAACGTGAAGAATACTATTCTATACCTCACGTGAATACTGTGAGAATAAATGTGATGATATAAACTAAACATACTTAACTGTAGGTCCAAAATACCTATCTATCAATTTTTTCCATCTTAGTTTATTCATTCGTGTATTTATTTAGAGACAGGGTCTTGCTCTATTGCCCAGGTTGGAGGGAAGTGATGCGATCATGGCTCACTGCAGCCTTGAACTCCTGGGTTCAAACTATCCTCCATTTTAGCCTCCTGAGTAGCTGACTACAGGCACTCACCACCACATCCAGCTAATTAAAAAAAACAAAAAGGTAGAATCAGGGTTTCAGTATGTTGCCCAGGTTCACATTGAGCTCTTGGCCTCAATCCTCTCATCTCAGTCTTCCAAAGTGCTGGCATTATAGGCGTAAGCTGTTGTGCCCAGCCCTATCTTAGTTCAAATGCTTGGCCCCCTCATGCTTCAGTCTGCAGCTAGGATGAAGTACAGACACTAAGAGATTTCATAATGATCAAGAAATGAATATCTTATTGTACTGTGGCAGTACACATAACCTAATTCCACCGGATAGATACCCCCCGGCAATCTGTTGGGAAAGGGGTAGAATCAAAGTAAACCCACTGAAACACCTCCCTTTTGGAATTACACATTTGGAAGATGCTTACTCCATGGATCAGGAAGGATAAGGTGAGATAAGAAAGCCCATTCTCTACTGCCACACACTCCATCCCCCTCCATCCCCACACCACCCCAGGCAAGTAATAGCTACCACTATAAGACTTTATTATAATGACTTTTTGGTATTACTTCAGCATCTCATTTTTTGGTGAGGGTAAAATAAGAGTAGAGGAAGAGACATAGGAGAGGAAGAAAGGGCACCTGAAGAGCTTATTTTAGTCACAAACACTCGGTATAAGAATTAGGCATAAGATAATCATTTGAATGGCTTCCTTCAAACAGGATTCAAAATGTCGGTGGAGACAGGAACAACAATTCCGACCTTAGACCTTAATTCCCCTCCTGGAGGCCGGATACCTTTCTCAGACATTGAACCACTAATGGGAAATTAAAGGCAATAAAACAACAGCTGGAATCCCATAACTGACAAGGTTTATATTGTACTCGGAGCAATTCACACTTAAAGAATTTCCTTTCCAATCACCAGATTTGTTTCTTTCTCTTCGGTGTTCAGGCTGATGGAGCCTCTCCTGGTAAAGTGTTTTTCTCTTTATATAACTGAGCCAAGCTGATCTCATTGTGGTCTCTGAACACCGTTTTGCTTCCAAAGATTTGAAGAGCTTTGCCCTCTTTTTTACCTCTGGTTCACAGGTTTGGTTTGGGGGAAGGGAAGGAACACAGAATGCCTATTGCACAAGCCTTATGCACGCGATGATCTCAAATAGTGTTATTTTTATGTTTTGTCCAATATCGTGGGCATTATTTTTCCAATTTCATGAGTAACACAAGCCTCAGGGATAATCATTTCTATCTCTTCACAAATGTACTCACGTGAAGTCAGATTCTGTAGCAGGAAAATAAAGGTGAGTTACTTTGATCCACTGAAGGAGAAGTTGACCCATCTATACCAAACAGTAGTAGTAATAATCATAATAGCTAAAATTTACAGCAAATACTTCATATTCCTACCACTGTATAAGTGAGTCACATGAATTCGTTGTTTTTTTTTTTTATTTTTCTTATCCTCTCAAGAGTCTTTTTTACTATTATACTTCTTGTTGTACAGAGAAAGAAACTGGGCTGATAGGGGTTAAATAATACATTAGAGGCCCTGGGCAATAAATTATAATCCCAGAATTGAAACCTGGGCAGTCCGACTTCGAAATGAGAGTGCTAAATGATTTTCCAAATACAAATAAATTCACACGCATGTGTGCATGGACAGATCCAAGGTCATTATCATCTGTCATTCTCACTCCTATTAATGTGTTTTCTTGATTGGAGAAAAAATGGTGGAGTTATAGCCACCTCATTGGGAATACTGGTGGAAATGTGTTGCACTATTGAATGTCATCTGTGAAATGTGTCACATCTGAAAAAATGTTAAGATCTCTGCTTAATGGGAAAAACGGGTGGGTAAACAGATGGTCACAGGACTGTCTGTCTGGTACTATGACTGGGGCATGTGCACAAGATCATGAAGCAGCCAAGATAAGTTACCCACAAGAAAGGTTTCTTAAAGAAGGAAATTTGTGAGTTGTATCTGAGTGGAAGAGGACAATTTCACCAGGCAGAAAACGGACGGCAAGACAACAAAACAAAAGGCAAAATAGAAGACAAGGAATCAGCATTGTGGGTGGGGAAGGGAAGTGGTCAACCTGTGTATAATTGGTGGACTTGGGAGAATAAAGCGCTAATGTCTGTTGTTGTTGCTGTTGTTTGTTTTTGTTTGTTTGTTATTGCCCTGCTGAGTGGTTTGGATTTTAGCTACATTGTGATTGAGAACCCTTTGAGGATTTAAATCTGGAAAGTGACACAATCCTTATTGCATTTCTGCAGAACGACTCTGGAAGAAACGTGGACAATGAATGGCTAGAGGGAGAGAAAGACAACAGAAAGATCATTAAGGAGGCCATGATTCTAACTCACCTGCAGAAACTTGTGCAGGTAAGAGAGAACGTAGGTCTGGGCTAAGAGGCTGGCAAGAAGAAAAAGTGGAGGAGATGTATTTAAAAATCAACCTTAGAATGGAGAGTTGACAGAACTCGATGACCATTTGGCATGGTGGGTAAAAAAGAAGGAAGAATCAAAGATGAACACAAGTTTACTTCAGTAATTTATGGTGTGAACGATGGAGCCATTTCTAATGAGATATAAATGAGAAAGAGAATCTGGGGTAGAGAAAAACGTGTCAATTTTAAGAAAATAATGAGGTGCCCACATAGGGAATCTGAGCAGTCGATAGAACAAACCAGAACAGAGTACAGATGGTAGAGGTAACTGGCAAATTGTGGGGTGTCAGTGCTGTGTAATTGATGGATGAAACCTTGGAAGTGGCTAAGACCTCAGAGAGCCCTTGGGACAGTAGAAAAGAGCTGATAGTTTAGTATATATAAAAATGCAAGGGCTAGTTTAAGAAAAAGAATCGAGTAAGGAAACCTGGAAATGAGAACTTTGAGAGGCAGGAAGAAAATCACCAAAGGAAGACTGAAGATAAATCAAGAGAAGAGAAATTTTTGAGAAGTTGAAAATGGTCAGCTGTGTCAGAGAGGTCAGTTAATAAGAAAAGCTGAATGACTCCATCGGAATTTGGCAAAAAGGAGGCCACCAATACGTCAGCAGAAAATGGTTTCATTGGACAGGGTAAGAGGAAGGTGGGGCGATGTGAGCACTGAAAGAATGGGAAGAAAATTTGGGGTATATTTCTTTCACTCAGAACATGGGAAGCAGTTCTTTGGACCTCCCTTTTCACAAGATACTGCATTTAAAATATTTCTTACTGTCACAGGTAAATTAACTATGTGATTTATATTAAATTTCAATAATTTTGTCTTGTTAATATGTTTTCCTTACAATCAATTAACTTTTATTCATTTTTCAGTGCCTAAGCTTTTTAAATTAGCAACATTGAAGAAACTAAATACAGGGATGCATGTACCCTAATTCATTTATATTCACTCACCTCTCTCAATCTCTTGACCTCTTGATATTTATCTTTCCTTAAAAGCCATTATTCAATATTTCATGCCCTATGAAAATTTTATAGTTATAACTTGTTCATAAAATGTCATTGTTAGCCTTGTTCAGACTTGCTTGACTTCCTCTCATTTCTGGCCTCAGTTTTAATACAACCCACATAATAATTCATGCCAGGCTTCTGATCACTGCTTCCTACGACATCTTGTTACTTCTGTACTCTGGGTTTGGTTTTTGTTTGATTTATCCTTTTTTGCCTGTTTTACTTATAATGACATTATGGTATACTATCACATCATATATAATGAGTTTAGCTCAGTTAGGGAAAATAATGTATCTTGAAAATAAAATAAAGTGTATGTATTGTTATGTAGACATTCACGGAGTATTGTATTAATATAATTTTTTATTTTTATTCATGTACTGTGAGGCATATTTAGACGTGAAATGGGCCTATGTAGGGATTCCTCAATTGCTTTAGTCAATCACGTCACCAGCAGAGCAAGATAATACCATTTGTACCTCTTTGGTTCAGGTGACTCTGATAACATCTGAGGATTTCATTAACTTGAGACCTTATCAAAACAACTGACATATTATTTGGGAAAGATCACTTTGCATTATGGAATAAATTGTATACATATAGCTAAGTTAACTTAAATAGGTTCAGCAATTTGCAAACAATATTCAGAAGTCATTATGTCCGAAATTGCACGAACTACTTTACCAGTTTAAGGCATTGCTAAAACTCAAACAGGGAGTGCCCACGAGCATCTCTGCCTGCCTCTGATTTTCTTTTTATCTCTTGAAGTGTCTGACCCTCAGTGCCCCAAGCCAACCCATGCCAGACTGACTGCGTCTGACATTTCACTGTGGAGATATCTCAGACTCTTCACATGTAAACTCCAGAGTTCAAACCTTGATATACAGGCTGCATAGAAGTCATCATACATATGCTAAAAGAAGTTGTTATTTCTAATTACTTTACTAACTGCTAGCTCATTAATCCACGTAGAATAGCCACCACTCCCCGACATTCTTTACATCCCTATACATGTCTTTTGTCTTGTGCTGCTGCTATGGGTAATGTTTCTCTATCTTCTATGATTTCAGATTGGAAGAAAATATCACTGTAGAGAAGATCATTTTCCATTACTCAAAAGTCCTTTTCTTGTGACTATTTCATTCCTCTTGCTGAAAATGGATCCCGCAGCAAGTTAAACAACTTGCTCATTCACTGTTTTAGCAAACAATTACTGAGCATGATTTCGGGGCACAAAGCCAAGCAAGATGAATTTCCCTTCCTTTACGAAGCCTGTCTTCTAGCTGAGGAGAAAGACAAGCAAATCAATAATTGCAGGACAAGTGCAAATGTTAGCGTTCAGGCACGTACAAGGTGAAATGCAAGCCTAGGGATGCACACCTATTTTTTATTTTATTTTATCTTATTTTTGAGACAGACTCTTGCTTTGTTGCCCAGGCTGGAGTGCAGTGGCCTGATCTCAGTTCACTGCAACCTCCAACTCCCGGATTCAAGTGATTCTCCTGCCTCAGCCTCCTGAGTAGCCAGAATTACAGGCATGCACCACCGTATCCAGCTAACTTTTTGTATTTTTAGGAGAGACAGGGTTTCACCATGTTGACCAGGCTGATCTTGAACTCCCACCCTCAGGTGATCCATTCACCTCAGCCTCCCAAAGTGCTGGGAGTCATTGTGCCCAGCCCATGCCTATTTTAGAAAGGGGATCAGAGAAGCCTTCTCAGAGCAGCCAGAATTCCACCTGAGCTTTGAAGGCTGACATGGAATTTGCTAGGTAACATGGAAGAATGGCCTCCCAGACAAAGAGAAGGATATGTGTACATGCAGAGGGTTGAAACAGCATGGCATTGGGGAAGCCTGGACTGGGGAGAAAAGGAACTTTCATATTATGTTTTTCATAGCTTAGGATGCTCAAATTTTGCATAATAAGAATTTATTCATAAACACGTATCAATATTAAAAGAAAAAGTAAAACGCAAGGACACAAAAAGCATTGCATGACACTTTTGAAAAAATTTGTTACTATTGGAGTGACAAATACCTTTCAGAGTGGGATGGGGCTGAGCCTAGAACACCAAGCCAGGGCCACCTCATGCAAGGAGCCCTTACAAATCAAACAAGGCATCTATAAATGTCCCCTGAATGCTTTGAGAAGACAATGATAGATTTTAAAGAGGAAATGGCATTGTTTAGTATTAATTTTAGAAAAAAATGTGTTGAAAAAAAGTATGGAAAAAAATAGAAGGGGGTTGATTTTGGAAGTAAAGGAACCAAAACCAATAACCCAGGAGAATGATGCAAAGGGCTGGAGTTATGATAGTGGAAGGGGAGCGGGAGATGAGGGAGCAGAGGAGAGGGATAAAGAGGCGGGGGCCACGGAAGTAAGTCACAGGTTCAATACGGCCCCATGTGGTGTGGGTGAGGTGGCATCCAGGAGAGTGGCCTCCAGTTTGCACAGCAGTATTGTCAGTCACCAAGAAGGGTATAGAAAAGAAGGCACAAATTTAGAAAAAAAGAGTTTGTTTGGGATGGGTTACATTTTCATCTCCTATAGAAAACCCAGGAAGAGATGCCTAATTAGGATTTGAGAAGAGTCTGGTGTTTGGCACCAATAGCTGAATGGCCCCTTAACCATTCATAGGAGCCTCACAATTGATTAGACAAAATTTCTTAAAAGTCAGACTTGACTCAGAATTAAGGGACATAGGAAAGGGTTTCCAAATTTAACAAATTTTCATTGTTTATCTTCATAATGTTCCCTCTTTGGCTAACATAAAGTGTGAAAATTAGCTTTAATCAGAGTGAGCCCCTCTCTTAACAAAAACAAAAACCTGTCATTCTTTCTACAGGAGTCAAAGCAGTTATTTTTGTCTCATGAAACCCAAACAGCTGGCTGATTTCATCATTCCCTCAGTAAATAGTTGTTTTGGCATTGAGCTGATGAGCACCAACAGGATCTCTACCCAGAAGCTTCAAGGAAAGGTAGCAGCAGTATAGATAGGTGTACCTCTGAAAGACAGGGTCGCAAATTGGCTGATGTTAAACAAATGCACATATTTGGTAAATGTTACAAGTATTTACAGTGAATAAGAAGAGCTAAGTGCATTTGGTGGAATGGGATTAAAATGGCACTAAAAGCCAAACACAAGGAGAAGTAACATCTGCTCTCAATCATAAAAGTCAGTGTTGAGAAGCACTCCACAGGGCCCAAAGCCTGTTCAAACAACAGTCCCTCCATTTGTAGAATGTCACGTTAAGAAAACAGTGACTGAGAAAGCAGCAAAAATTGAGCAATGTCCACATCGCATATTTCAGCTAAGATAAATGTAGGAGTCACTAGAACATGCTTGTGTACTATATGTATTTTAATCACTTATCCATGAATCCCATAATGGCTTGGTATATGACTAAAAAGTCTACTAGGAAGGCTTATTGTTTAGACAGGGAAGATTAATGGTAAAATTATCAACTATTATTAACATTCATTTACTTATTCAACAGTTTGGGGGCGTTAAATACATGTCAGGCTCAGCAGCTACAACAGTGAGTGAATCAGACTCCCCTCCTGATAATCTCATGCAGCCTCCATCCCCCACATACTAGATCTGGCCCCACTTACTTTTTAGGATCGAGTGAGTTCAGGGAGTTATCCACATTTTGCTGAAAACACCGAGACAAACTTGTGAAATAAATTGCCAACATTATAAAGCTAATAACTGTCAGAGCCAATGCTAGATTCCAAGCCCAAGACTTTTTGCAATATAATTGCCTTTTATAGTCCAAGTAGGACTCATGGAACAATTTAAGATAAGAAAATGATGAAATTTTATTCAAAATAGCCACAAACTGGAAAAACAATAACACATGCCCATCAACAGGATAGATAAATATTTTGATATATTCATAAAATGAAATACTATGCATGAATGAAAATGAATGAATTATAATCACATGCAGCAACAAAGAAGAAAGAGATAAGGGAGTGTGTTCTATGCAGTCTATTTACATAAAGAACAAGCAAAACTAATCAATGATGATAAAAATAATAGCTACCTTTGAGGAGTGATATTGACTAGGAGGTGACATGAAAAGCCCTCTGATACGAAAAAAAAAATGTACTTTCTCTTGATCTGGGTGGTAGTTACAGCTGTACAAATATACCAAGTTCATTGACTTGTGTATTTAAGATTGCTGCACTTCATGTATATTACATCTTAATTTAAAAATAATAAATAATGAGCAGGAAAAGAACTTGGTAAGCTGGTGAAGTATATGTCAAGCAGTGTCTTTAAAGCAGTTTCAGAAAAAAAAACTGGTTCCAAGGTTAACAATTTAAGCTTAACCATTTTTTTCTTCATGCTCTTTATACTGTCTTGGTTCAGATCTGCACTATTTCACACCAGGGAAATTGCAATAAGCACCAAGTGGTCTTATTATAACACATCTAGTTATATCCTTCCTAAATGTTGAATTGTCCCATTAACTCCTTCATGTAACCATCTTCATTGGTGCTCCATTTTCTATGAAGTTCACAATCTTTAGCATAGATATGGACTCTTCTGCAATCTTTTCTCAGCCAACTAACTACTTCAATATCATCACCTACCTGTCACTTCAATCACCTTTCCTTCCTTCCTTCCTTCCTTCCTTCCTTCCTTCCTTCCTTCCTTCCTTCCTTCCTTCCTTCCTTCCTTCCTTCCTTCCCTTGCCTCCCTCCTCCCTCCCTTCCTTTTCTCTTTTTCTCCACAAATATTTATGCAATGCCTACTTAGGTAAGACATTCTGTTAGGTGGTAGGGAAACACAAATGAATGAGATAGAATCTTATCACATTTCTGCAGACTAGACACAAAACAAAGATATCCACATACATACAATTACAAAATTAATGAGGGACACAAAGGAGATAGGCCAGGGCATCATGGAATCTAGAGCAGAGGCACTGGAAGCAACCTAGGAGGTTCTTTATGGAGCTGATGGAGGATGGTGAGTCTTGAAAAAGCAAGAGAAACAGACCTGGCAGATAGAGATAGGTAAGTGGTAGAGTATCTGGACCAAAAGCCTCGCCTAAACGAAGGTATGTAGGCATGAAAGAGCATGGGATATCTAGGAAATAAAAAATTAAACATTTAGAAAGATTGAATCTTATAGTTCAAGGGTGGGGATGAGGTGCAGTGATGCTTAGGGCAGAAAATGTAGGCACGGAGCCATATCATCAGAGACCTTGTTTGCAATGCTAACGAGTTTGGATTCCATCCTACAGGCAGCAGGAGCTCCCAGACACACCTTACACTACAGCCGTGCCAAACTCTGGCTGGTTCTACATCCACTTCAGGCACTTTCACAACTCTCTGTGCAGTTCATCTTGTTCCTTCAGCTCCGAATGCCAGCCCCACCTGACAAAATTATATCATTGTTCTGAGTTGTATACCTGGCAACACAGAATTGCTTTTACTGAACTTGGCATGGACATTCTGCCATTGGTTCCCATAAGATGTGAGAACAAACCCATGAAATTTGCTACCCTCTTGACTGTAGCAATGTTGTTTGAAAGTATTGTTTGTCATGTTTTGCAGGATTTTCTCTATGGAGGCCACCAAGGAAATGTCTCTCAGTACCTGGAATAGTTGAGATCTCCTGGGGCTGGTTTGTGTTTATCTTAAGCACACTCTGATTCATTTCACATGGCTTTCTTCTTTGCTTTAGCTCAGAGCAGAATCTGCGACCCATCTCTAGTGAGCCTACGGATCTCTTTTTACTGTTTGTGGGCTAATCTCACCATGCCTTTATTTTATTTGATTCTTCCTATTTTCTCAATATCCTGATTTCCTCACTTAATTTTATAGGGATTGCCTATCGTTTTGAGATCCATCTGAAATAGTTTTAGATGGATTAAAACTCTTCTGGTTACACATGACCGGAAGAGTTTAAAGAAACCAGTCATCATTATTTGAGATTCTCTAATGCCACCTTTTTTGTGTGTGTGTGAAGCCTCAGATTCTCCAAGGCAGAGTTGGTCAGTGTCTGCTTGGAAAGCCTGCATGCTTTGTTGACACATATTTTAGCCCTTCTGCACTGCTTTACAAGTAATTACCTACATTTCATTCATCCCACCATTCTGCAGCACCTTCAAGCCAGGAACAAAAAGTTTTATTTTCCCAAAATCTTATGTTGCATGTAGGGACACATTTAATTCTTGCTGTATTAATAAATACATAATGATAACATAAAAGAAACTGGGGTTACATTTATTTGTTAAGAGAGCAGCGAATGGGGTAAAAGAATACAGAGAACAGGCTGGGCACAGTGGCTTATACCTGTAATTCCGGCACTTTGGGAGGCCAAGGCAGGTGGACCACCTGAGGGCAGGAGTTCGAGACCATCCTGACCAACATGGCGAAACCCCGTCTGTACTAAAAATACAAAAATTAGCTGGCCGTGGTGGTGGGCAATTGTGATCCCAGCTACTCAAATTGCTGAGGCAAGAGAATTGCTTGAACCTGTGAGGCAGAGGCTGCAGTGAGCTGAGATCACACCATTGCACTCCAGCCTGGACGACAAGAGCAAAACTCTGTCTCAAAAAAAAAAAAAAAAAAAAAAAGGAAAGAAAAAGAATACAGAGAACAGTGATCAGGAAGCCCTGAGATGAATGACTCTCTAGAAACACAGAGATACCCAGATGGTCTCAGGTAGCACAAGATCAAAGCATCATTCTGAACACAGAGTTGAGAAACATCAAGAAAAGGGGAGAGAAGGAGATTTCACTTGTTTGATGGGGACATAAACAAGGCTGGATGTAAAGCAGTCGGCCATAGGAACAGTCATGCAAGAAATATTTATTGAGCTACTACTGAATTATTGCACTAGTGGCTCTACTTAGATGTTATAAAAAGCAAACAAAGAAAAACAAGTCTTGAAAGAACATGACCCCTTAATCCTGTGACTAAGGGCATGCTATGGGAATTAAAAATAATAGAAGCCGGATTTGGAAACACATACAAATTATGAGAATATTTACAGAGTGCTTTTATTTCACAGTTGTGATGACTCATTAATGTATTGTTCAGTGCAACGATTTACCTAGAGCTTTCATGGACATAGTGTCCCTTGGGACACACAATGACCCTGACAGGGCAAAAGGGGAAATCGTTTTCTCTCTTTAGTAGATTAGGTGTCTGAGTCTCAGATAGCCTGAGCTACTTATACAAGCGCACTTACATCGTCATTGGTTGGTTGGTGGACCCATAAGGGAGGTTTATTTAGCTCACCATTTATAGCACGATATCCATTTTATTCTGCTGCCTCAACAAGTTTTAGACAATGCCTGATAACAGCTTACCAATAAGAGTGAAACTATTTGGAGAGCTTCATTGTGTTGGTTCACTCAGGGAGGGTTCCCAGAGCCTTTGGGACAAAGTTCAAGTTCATCAACATAGCATTTGAAGCCCTTCCCAGACTGGCTCTACCTGCTCAGGTGGTATAAGTCCCCACACGCTTCCCTGGTGCATCTATGCCTGCTATGCTTCCTTCTGGGGGTTTGACCCAAACAGCTGGCCCTCCTCTGGAATCATAGAATATCTGTCAGGTTCTTTGTTTACTCCTAAATGTTATTATATCCTTGCAAATTTTGCCTGTGTTCCATGAAATATTCACATTTGTTTTATCTATAAAAATGTGGAAGTGACTTACTTTTGTTTTGTTTTGTTTTTGAGACAGAGTTTCACTCTTGTTGCCCAGGCTGGAGTGCAATGGTGCGATCTTGGCTCACCACAACCTCTGCCTCTTGGCTTCAAGTGATTCTCCTTCCTCAGCCTCCTAAGTAGCTAGGATTATGGGCATGTGCCACCATGCCCAGCTAATTTTGTATTTTTAGTAGAGATGGGGTTTCTCCATGTTGGTCAGGCTGGTCTCGAACTCCAGACCACAGGGGATCCACCCATCTCAGCCTCCCAAAGTACTGGGATTACAGGTGTTATCTCACCTCACCCAGCAAAAATGCTCTCAATAGCTTAGCCTTAGAGTGAAGCTGCAGAAAGACATGCCATATTTGTCCTCTGGCCTTACAGACTGCCTTACATAAACCTCTGGGGTGAAGCCCGAGTTGAAAGTCAGGGCATATTGTTACCCTGTGAACTTACTCAAGACAGGGAACGTGTCTCATTCCTCTTGTAACCCTAGCACATGTCTCGGATGTATTATATATTAGCTGGCTGGGCTGACTGGATGGGTGGACAAATGATATAAAAGCAACAGATGACACTAAGCAAAGAGAAAAACATCTGTTTTTGCCAATCACATAAAATTTTTAAAAGTATACCCTATAATTAGCCTTATGGTCTCTTCACCTTTTGCACAATGCTGTAACCATTGTTGACATAAATATGAAAACCTTATATAAGATACGAAAATAAAGAATGCATTCATATGAGTGTCTTTTGGCAAAGGTCCAAAAGAAAACTTATAAATCTAATTTACCTCATTTATTCTTTTCTCTGATATTCAGGGAAGGGCCTTTTTCCTTTAGCAAGCATAATGGCATAATGTAAGAAATATTTTCATTTTCAAAATCTCTGTGGGCTATATTTATTGCTTATTGATTGTACCTATTCTAAACTGTGCCTTTGCTAAAATTCAAATTTCTTCCATTATCCAGCAGAAAAAAAAGGGTTCCCACAAAGGTGACTATAAAGTAGATTACCATTGACTTTTGTTTTGTAGAAAAGAACAGGGGAGAAGAAGACATGCATCTTCATATTATCGATTTAGAACCATTTCTTATTAACAGTGTGATGAACATTTGTGGAGCAAAGAGTTAACGTGTGTCAAGTGCAGGTGAAAGGAACGGAAGGTAAGGCTGTCTGAGGGTGAGGGTGGAGGGTGGGGTGATCAGCTGTGGACCCTGGATGGCAAAGAGGGGCTATTTGGAATTTTTGAGGGATTTACCAGAAAATGTCAAGAAATAGTCTTTTTTCTCTCCTACAGACGTTTTGAGAAAAACTATCTAAATTAGCTAATTACTTAATTCTTGATTTTTCTTCTTAGAAAATTGTTTATATACATATAGTATATTTAAAGGAGAGCAAGGAAGGGAAGAAGGCATTGAATGTGTTTGTCTGGTATCGCTCTCTACAAGTGAACAGCTTGCAGCCTCCGTGAGCTGAGAACACTCACCCAGTCATGGTTAGAGGTCAGGAGGATGGCAGAATCTTTTAAACTAAAACAAGACGGGGAAGTTAAAGATAATATTAGAATTTATGGACATTTAAAAATAGTGGGATCTTTTCTCTTTTTAATAAAAATACTGGTGAATAACTGATGTCTAAAGTAATTACTGCAGTCATTTATGAAATTGAGTCATTTGTTTAGCCAGGAGAAAGTAAGAGTTCGTATGTTTAAATGAATAATATAGTTTGCCCATAAAAAGGAGTATTTGTGTGTGTGAGCATGTGTATTATATTTTAAAAACTAAGAAATAGGGCCGGGTGCGGTGGCTCAAGCATGTAATCCCAGCACTTTGGGAGGCCGAGGCGGGTGGATCACGAGGTCAAAAGATCGAGACCATCCTGGTCAACATGGTGAAACCCAGTCTCTACTAAAAATACAAAAAATTAGATGGGCCTGGTGGCGCATGCCTGTAATCCCAGCTACTCAGGAGGCTGAGGCAGGAGAATTGCCTGAACCCAGGAGGTGGAGGTTGCAGTGAGCCGAGATCGCGCCATTGCACTCCAGCCTGGGTAACAAGAGTGAAACTCCATCTCAAAAAAAAAAAAAAAATTAAGAAATAAAATATTTTCGGCAACTGGGGGATGTCTTACCTATATTTTTCTTTTTTTCTTTTTTCCCTTGTTCTCTCCCTCCCTTCTCCTCCTCCTCCTCTCTCTCTTTTTCCTTCCCTTTCTATTTTTCTTCATCTCTCACTTTCTCTTAACGAGTTGGACTATAAGTAAAGGTAAAGCCTGGTGCTTTTAATTAACTTGCTGTATGAACTTAGGTGAATCACTTAAACTTTTTTAAAGTTAGAAGGTTGACTTTCCTCCAGGCCTCTTATTTTGTGATATTTCGATGTTTAACCAAAATAATACATAATTGATAGCCACTGTCCTTTTCCTTCTCTCCAGATGCTGCCCTGTGTCAGCTTCCCAGGTGGGAGTGGGTATATCATCAGGCACAAGATCTCTATGGGTAGAAGGACTGGGGAGCCTTGACTGGAAGATATGAGACCTAATATCCATGTGATCTTACACATGGATGTGTAGATACTTCCGGGCAAAAGTAAGAATCAGAGATCCCCCATCTGGAGGAGCAGGTAGACCAAATGCCATGTTATTTCATGGAAAAGGCCTGTACACCTCCCATTCTTTCTCCTTACCTATTCAGTGGCCATTTTTCCCTTCCAAACTTCAACTACCAGAATCAGTTTTCTCTCTGTTCTTTGTAACCCTCTGAAACACTCTCTTTTTCTAACCCTGGTGGAGTTTCAAATCCTCCTCCTCTGACTTACCCTTAGGTTGGGTACAACTCAACCTCTGTAGACTTCCATGGATGTTTTCCACCATCCTATTGATAGGGACAACAGACGGGAAAATACTGGGTAGGAGACAGCGGTTCCCTGGCAAAGGCCCCACCCTCAAGCCTGGAGACCTGCAGTCCTAGATGAGAACAGGCATTCCTGTTTTCAAGCCCAAAAAGTTGCCTTTTGGCCACCATGTCCCCTGTCTTGCACCCATGTAAACTCCCAAACCTGAGAACCTGAGCAGACCAGCAAGCCAGCAGACCAGCAGACAGAGGCAGAACAACACAGTAGAGAAAGGGAGAAGAGGGGGAACATCTCAATACTGAGAGGAGTTCGCCTGGGGGTGGTGGGAGAGGAATCTGGCTGCTTGGTAGCCCAACTCCAGGGGAGGATCACCTTCCACTCCATCCCCCACTTCTGGTTCCCCATCCATCTCCCTGAAAGCCACCTTCACCAATCCATAAAACCTCGCCTTCATCCTTCAAGTCCGTGTGACCTTATTGTGCCAGGATGCTGGGCAAGTGCTTAGGATACAGAAAGTGGTCATAGTGGCCCTCTGCCCTTGTGAAAAGGCAGGGGGTCCACTGAGCTGGTTAACACTCAAGCCATCCGCAGGTGGCAAAGCTTTGTAACACCACGGTTGCAGGTACCTACCCCTAGATACCAGCCCAAAGTGCTGGCCCCAGCCTCTGCACTTGTCCATCTGCATGCTCCCCCTTCTTCAAGGGGTTTAAGTGACCCAACAGGCGAGGCACGTCTCTGTTACAAATCCTGCAAGGGGAATCAGGGAACTCTCCCATTTCATCATCATCCTCCACCCCTAGGCAACAGGAGTGTGTGTATTTTTCTTTGCCACACAAGTCGCACAGTACAATCATTTTACATTATGCACCATCCTGCCCCATTTATCAATTCCTGAATCACTGAAACATGAAGAACCCCAATGTTAAATTATCTCTAATTCTATGTGCGTGGCAGATTGAGGGCTGCCTTATATAATTTATCTTTGGTTCCAATTTAAGAATTTCTGCCAAAGGGATTGTTCTAACATCTCCTGTTCAGAACTCCTAGTTCCACTCACTTTCCACACCCTGGCACTGCTTTGTAACACACTCAACCATGTTTTACCAAGTAAGGTTGAGTCACTGAGCAGCCAAAGAACAATGTAACAATGTGTAGAAATGAACGTGTATCTCAATCTCTTTGTTACATGTGTTAATGCTTATCATTTTAGCAAAACAATGGTCTAATAAAATGATAACTTTTATGTCATTTTAAGCCCAGGCCATCCTGACTCTACTATTTGCTTTTAACAACATATATAAACAAAATTTTCCTCTATCTGCTTAGTGGTATAACAAGAAAATCCACTAGCAATTCTCACATGTTAATCATCACTTGCAGCAGGATAGAACAGCGTGTCATAAAATGACCTTGTGTGGCATCTCAAAACTTACTTCTTCCCATATCTTTGTTCCTGGAAAATAATTTCCTCTACCTTTATTTGTCTCTCAGAATTTGCTTTTTCAGAGTTGTTTGGAAGAAATGCGTCCATTTTCTTCATCAAAACCATCATAGCAAGCTGAGGTATTTAGAAAAACAGCACTGCAATTCACTTTGAAATGCATCTCAAAAATTAGATGGATTGCCTACAGGTAGCAGGATGGATAGAGGGATAGATATGAGATAAAGCAAGTGTAGCAAAACGTTAATGGTAGAATGCAGGGTGGAAAGTACACAGGTATTCAAAACTTCGTGATGTGTTTGAAAATCTTTATTATGAGACGTTAGGAAAAAAGATTATAGGACAGAGTCATTTAGCCACTGTCCTAGTTTACTTGACAGCACCAGCCCCTCAGTGTGCTGCAGGATTTGCTCTACCTGATGTGCAAATGGACAAGCGTTCATGTTGCAAGGGTGTAATTAGGGCACCAGGTTAGAAATCTGGCAGTCAGCGCTAACAGGGAACATTTCCTACTTTGTGCTGTGCTCATCAAAAGACAAGATGAAAGACTCTTGTGATATTTTTGCATTGTAACCTGATGAAGTTTAAATTCAGCTAGCTGCAGCATGCTTTAGCAGGATCAATTCTACTCAGAATAACAACAAAACTCACCCTTGCAATAAGAAAAAACTGAAACAAAAAGAAATGCTTACAGTGTCTTATGAGATATCATATATGTATCATTGATAATAAAAGTATAAGTAGAAACAAATGAATGACAGCAAAATCCAATAAGAAAGCATAATAACCAAGAATAAAAGGAGGATTTTTAAAAATAAGAGATAAAACTGAGTGTGAATACTGTCTAGTCCATATAGCTGCATATAATCTATTGAAAGAGGTCATCATCAATTCCATATAGTATCTAACACAATAATGAATATGAAATCTGTTCATGTGTGGTCTCTACTAATGCATCACCTTCATTAAAACCAGAATTATTCTCTTTTCTCTGAATTTCACTTACAAAGGAGAAGGCAGTATCTAGTCGGATGCACAAGCCAGTTACTGAAAGGAAAATGTTCTACTTTCAATCCCAGGGTCAATTATCGGTAATATAAGAACTCAGCACCCTATTTAGTTACCTTTTTGAAAAAGATATGCTTTCCTACTATCTTAAAATGCTTATTGTCATCGAAGACAGTGTCTAGACAAGCAATTGACCTTCTTATCATGACCTGAAGTTGTCATCATCATTTCTCTTACCTCTGGAAGAAATGGTATATGTACTATGTATACCATTATATATATAGTGTGTGTACATATATACGTATGTGTGTATATATATATATATATATATATATATATATATAGTATGTCACTTTAAAAAATATTTGAGGAGAGTATAGCTCACTGTTCCTTCTTTTCTCTTTTAATCTTAAAACTTACCTAGTATTAATTCATTTATATCCTTCAAACATCAGATGTTTTCTATTTTTCTTCTTTCCAAATAAATCCCATTATAAAAGAGAAACTTGGACAACGACTTTAGAAATATCTTACAAGACAAGAAGAAACAAAATAAAAAAATTCAAACTTGGTCACTTTCATGGCCATGACTTAAAATGTCACAGACATTTTGTTTGATGAACAGAATTTTGGTCTAATTTTGTTCATCCAATCAACTTTTAAAGATTTTTCAGTCACAAATGCCATCATTAGAATTTGGACTGTACAGGTTTAAAAAAAAATCTAAATTTCTCTGCACCATAGCAGTAATTTTGTTAAATCTGTGATGGTATTTTTAATAAACCTGTTTTTTCTTATAGATTTACTTTATCTACTAAATGTATTTATTAAATACTTATTTTTAGATATTTAATCGATTTTATGTTCTAAGCAATCCTTACATATTTAACTTCAAATCTATTACGTATTGAATAGATTATTTGATCTCTCCATCAAAAATACATTAACCTTAGTCAGTTCTTTCTTCCTCCTTTGAAATGTTCTTCTATGGTTACCCCACCCCCATGTTAGGCTCCATGAGAGATTAAACTCCAGGTGGTGAATGAGTTTCCTAGGTGTTCACTTTGTAATGAGCAAAACCCTCACAGAGTATACTGCTGATAATAACATCAATCAACACTGAGCCAAATCACTCTCGTGCCTTTGGTGATATCTCAGAGGACAGCAAAATGTGCCAACACATTTTTTTTTATTACTCTTCATAATATGTACCTGGATGCCTTGTCTCTCTGTGTCTCTCCTTTTCTTTCCCTCTCTTCTTCTGCCTTTTTCTCATCCTCTCCCTTTCTCTGCCTCCCTTTCTCAATCTCCCTCTCTTACTTTCAGTAATTTTACAATCACATAACAGAGTCTGTAGTTGAACTATAAGTTACGGTTTTATTCTCATGATGAAATGGTGTACCAAAGCATCTATAATTATCTAATAATTATCCCATATTACCTATGTATTTGCTTCAGTTACCTGAAAAAATCAGACAGGAGCTTGAATCATCTTAGCAATTGCATAAAATTTCCACTACCCTGCTAGTCTAGACATGCAAACAGTGTAACCTACAATTTGTTAGAGACTAACACGTTAGTTATACCTGATATCTAAATAGTCAAGCATTTCTTTTCTCTCTATATTAAACATTTTGCTTTGAAAAGTACATTGACCGCAGAGTAATTTTTTGCTACTTTATAATTTTTCCAAAATATGCTCTTATTGTCCTGAAAAGAAGGAGGAGAAGGAGAAGGAGAAGAATTGTGATCAGTAAGATCATAAATATTATTTGAATACCTATTGACTGTTTCAAGGGCCTTCAAACAAAAAACATCATGGACCTGGAAAGAACTTTTTGAGATTTGCTATTATCTAAAAAATTTTTTAAAGCAATGAAAACTCTGAAAACCCATTCACAACACATAGAGGAGTAAAAATAACCTAGAAACATGATAATAGCCACTTTTAGACATTTCAGTTAAATTCGGCTCTGGCACTATCTGAACAAGTGTTTCTATAATTTTAAAGGGAACTATCCATCAATAATTATTGCAGCCTTGAATATTTGATAAACAGGCTTTGGTTGTGATCATTTTAATATGTTTTTGCCACATATACCATGTATCTCTATTCTTCAGTACGTATCCTGAGCAATAATACGGAAATGAATTTGGCAAAATCAGCAGTTGCCCACCCCTTGTACCACTGTATCCATGACAATATAACACTGGCTGCTGATTGTCAGTGAACTGTGAACAAAAAGGCCGCATGGTTCCCTCTTCTCTCCTACATGAGCTATTGGAAGATCATGACCAAGGCTACCGGCAGAGTAAACAAGAACTGAAGGGCTGGCTGTAGGTGGCACCATCTGCAGCAATCCAAAACTACCCTTCAACAATCTGCTACGCAATTATGGAGCTGGATGGGGTATACTTGCAATAGTTCAAGTCATAAAAAATAGACTAAAACAGAGTAGTATCTATGCTATTTAATCTGTTTGGCAGCTATTGAAAGTAAATCTTTATTCCAAATAATTTCAGCACTACCACCAGTTTGGACTGTCTTTTTAGAGCCCAAGATGCTGCAGTATCATTGGGCCAATTGAAGCTCGGGTAAGTTGAAGGAGTTAGGAAACATCTCAGCCCCACTCGTGTTTGCATTTTCGTGTGCAGCAACATGAAGAGATGCCAAGATAGTCCCAAGGTCCTGGGGGTCATTTTGGAGCTAGGAATCCCAGATTTCTGTAGTTCCATTGACCCTTTCTCTCCCTACACAGTTTTGCCTCCTTCCTCTTAGGAGAGCTGCTGTCTTTGAATCTTTTATGAATTTGTAACCCTGAGAGTGGTCAATGCATGTTGTCAGGTTTTTTTAAAAGCCTAAGGAAGAGGATTCTTTTCACAAATGTCTTTGATGCAATAAGGGAGGAATTTGGCATAGACCAGTGTCTCTTTAGCTGAAGTAATATATATATACATATATATATAATATATATTTAAAAAGCATCTACATATATATTATAGTTATATGAATAAATTATATATATACATGTAAAATTTATTTACATAACTAAAATATATATGTAGATGCTTTGTTTTTTTTTGAGACAGAGTCTTGCTCTGTTGCCCAGACTGAAGTGCAGTGGTGAGAACCCAGCTCACTGCAACCTCTGCCTCCCAGGTTCAAGTGATCCTCCCATTTCAGCCTCCCAAGTAGTTGTGACTAAAGGCACACACCACCATGCTGCGCTAATTTTTAGTAGAGATGGGGTTTTGCCGTGTTTCCCAGGCTGATCTCTAACTCCTGGTCTCAAGTGATCCAATGGCCTCAGCCTCCCAGAGTGCTGAGATTACAGGCATGAGCCACCACGCCTAACCTATATATGTATTTTTTAATGTCCTGTAAGCTTCCATCAAGTTGGATTCATGATATAATAATAGAAAGAGGAAGAAATTGTCCCAGGTTCATTGGAACAATGGCTAACGATATTAATCACCCACATTTACAGATCTAGGGAACTAGTTTATAAGCCATGGAACAAGAAGAAGCAGGTGCCAACAAAGAGATAGGGCTGGAGGAGGAGGCTCAGGATATGCTGGACAGGAATCGGCTGACCTTGTGGACCAGTCTCCAGTGAGGTACTGCAGGGCATATGAGGACCAGGGCATTCTGTGCTGCTGCAGAAACACTCTCTGGAGTCCATACTGCGAGAAACAGTATGTTCTTTCTGCCTCTCCTCTCTTTCCCCGTTCCCTCTTCCCTCTCCGCATAGGAACCTTATCTAAAAAAGTCAAACACCTCTTTGAGCTTCTCTGGGAGGATGTAAGTCGAGAGGCACCGACCAAGAGAAGGAAGGAGAATGGCCTCCAGTCCTGATTCATGCTGAGGCCTTCAGGTAGGAGCATCCAGTGGGAGTCAGCAGAAGGGTTCAAGTCTTGCTTTTTCCTTTCCATTGAAGTGTAGACTCCTGTAGGGCAAGTCTGAATCTGTTTTGTTCAATACTTCATACATTATACATAACACACTGCTTGGCATGTAGTAGATACTTAAAACTGTGTGATGAATGAATCGAAGGGTGAATTAAGCTTCCCATCTCTGAATGTGGGCTCTCTGGCAATGCACTCTCCCCCAGTCCCCCAAGCAGATGAGTCATGGGAAGAGGCTACTCAGGTCTCTGAGGGTCCTATAGATTCCATGTTCTGTGGGTATGTTCTGCTTCATTTTTGCATTACTAACATGGAGACAGAGCTTCTTCTTGTGCTAAAGTTCCAGTATTTTCACCTCAGCCTACCTGGTGCTGCCAATATTGGTGGAGAGGTTGATCACAGGCTACACAGATTAGCCTTTCCAACTCAGATTGATACTGAGAACTTCACCTTAGCCACAACCTTGCTGCCTTCTTCTTCTTTCGTCTTTTCTTCCTGCTTGCCAGAGGGTGTGGGATAGTAAGAGAAAAAAATGCCATGTCTGAACTAGTATAGTATACAACAGGTGAGGAGAGAAAATAAATGGATAATTTAACCACCTAAAAGTTTTAATTGTCTTTAAGTGTCTGTCCTCAAACCCCATCTCAACAGAGTCTGCCTCGAGTATACTAAACTGTTTTAGACAATCCCATCCATTCAACTAATATTTGGCTGAAGTACATGTTAGACATTATGTTTGGCACTTACTGGAGCCATTCGTTTGGTGATAACTAAGAAATTATAATCCTTGCTCTAAAGAGTTCAAGTGTAGAAGCCTCGGATGACACAAATGCAATAAATTATAAAACCATGTATTAATAGCTATAATAAAAGTATGAAAAAACTGTCATTGAAGGTTGAATTAATTCAACCTTTCAAATTCTCAGTTAAAATGACAGTTGGAAGCCTACATGCATTATGACAAAAATAACTTATACTACCCATTTGCAGAAATGTATTCGGAAATGGTAAGACTTGAGCCAGCCTGATTAATGGCCATCCAGCTGGTCAATAACAATGCATCAATACCAAATAAAAAGGATGCTCAAGATCAATGAGAGGTAAGACTTGTGATTATGCCTAAATCACTCCCCTTCAAAGTGCTTTACCAACATTCGCTAATTAATCTTTATTACATTGTGTTGAAAGTAAGTATCATCATCCCCAAATAACATTTTGAAGCACTAGGGTTTAGTGCCTTTCCAGAAGATGCCCAGTGTGAAACCTGAGCACTTGCTCAGAGCCAAGAGAGCTAATCAGCTCTTGATATTCTGTCTTAGGAGGCACCTTTGGTTAAAAGCGTCAAAAGCAGAGTCTGTGATGTGTGACCTAGAGCCCCAGCTCCAGCTCTTCATATAAATGGGTGACTCCAGATGAGTTATTTAAGATCTTTGAGCTTCAGTTTCCTCATTTATTGAAAGGCATTGATGCTATCTCCATAGAAGGCCATTTTAATGTTAGAATGAGTTAATGCTTTTCAACCCTTGGAAAACAATAAGGGCTGAATAAATAGCTAGTGTTGTTGTTGTTGCTGTTGTTCTACTTATTTTTGGAAACATTGGCCATGAACTGGGGTTTACCAGAGGATGGAACCAGCTAGGAGACACTCACAGGAAGATTGGGAGCTGCCCTTTGGGATGAAAAGAAATTAATGCAACTGGAGCACTTGCTATGTGCCAGGCATTGTGTTAGGTGGTTTATGCTTTGGATTTCAAATTCTTCTTTCTTTTATTCCTCGCAAACAACCCTGCAATGGAGCAAGCGGAGCTAATGTGGGAGTCTGGGCTCTTTCCTCTGGCACGTGGCAGCTTCTGCTGTCCTGGGGCAGGTGGAATAGATGGGGAGAGGGTGGTCCCTACTGCAATGGTGGAAAGAAGAGGAGAATCCAGGGCAGTGGTACTTAGGAACTCGGACTGGTAGGCAGGTAGTCTAGCCCCAGGAAGTCCATAAGCAAGGGTGAGACAGATGTTAAGCTGGACATCACGGAGGCTCCAGGAGAAGAATACAAGAACAGCAGAGCAGGTCTCCCATCCCAAGATTAGAGGACTAGGAGGAATATGAAAAATATACACCCATGCCTAGAGAGCTGCGGTGAAATCCAGAGATGACAGCAAGAGCCAAGGGCAGAGGGAAATGCCTCTTCTGATAGGCATAGATAATGGAAATGAAGGCCAAGATCAGAGCAGAGACATTACCAAGTAAACTTGACATCAAGTAGGGTTCTTATTTTATTTTACTTTTAGCCACTGGGTCTCTGTTTTGTTATTAATTTATTGTCTCTCAGCTCCAAAGACACCCTTATACATGCTTTCTGATAACAGAATCCTTTTAAAAGTTTCTCCTTTAAAGTGAGCACAACCTGTAACCTTTCTATGTAAAGGGTGCCGGAGGAAGATTGCAGGAACAATTTACAGTGTTGGCAGGAGGGCTTGGCAGTGTAGGTGGATGGACAAATGTCTTGTGAGCCCCTCCAACCATCATGTAAAGCCTGGTCCATCAGGTAAAGCCTGGCCCGGCCGCAGGCCCGGAACACAGCCCTTCTGTGATTTTGCAGTTACTCTTCCAACAGAATTCATAAGTACTTTTGTTAAACTTCTTTTTTTTTTTTTTTAATTTTTGTATTTTTTTTGTTTTTAATTTTTTATTGGATTTTAGGTTTTGTGGTACATGAGCAGAGCATGTAAGACAGTTGCGTAGGAACACACATGGCAGTGTGCTTTTCTTTCCTTCTCCCCTTCACCCACATTTGGCATTTCTCCCCAGGCTATCCCTCCCCACCTCCCCCTCCCACTGGCCCTCCCCTTTTCCCCCCAATAGACCCCAGTGTTTAGTACTCCCCTTTCTGTGTCCTTGTGTTCTCATTTTTCATCACCCACCTATGAGTGAAAATATGCGGTGTTTCATTTTCTGTTCTTGTGTCAGTTTGCTGAGGATGACGTTCTCCAGATTTATCCATGTCCCTACAAACGACACAAACTCATCATTTCTGATTGCTGCATAATATTCCATGGTGTATATGTGCCACGTTAGAATGGCGATCATTAAAAAATCTGGAGACAACAGATGCTGGAGAGGATGTGGAGAAAAAGGAACACTTTTACACTGTTGGTGGGAGTGTAAATTAGTTCAACCATTGTGGAAGACAGTGTGGCGATTCCTCAAGGCCTTAGAAATAGAAATTCCATTTGACCCAGCAATCCCATTACTGGGTATATATCCAAAAGACTATAAATCGTTCTACTATAAGGACACATGTACACGAATGTTCATTGCAGCACTGTTTACAATAGCAAAGACCTGGAATCAACCAAAATGCCCATTGATAATAGACTGGATTGTTAAACTTCTTTTCAACCTAGTTTATGGTTTCTATCTCCAGATTCTACTCATTGTATGATAAATCCTTTTTTTCATTTGAAATTTTACATAAAACCCAGTATGTTAGCATTGACATCCTAACTCTGTATTGTAATCCATGAGGCCCAAGTGACCTGCCTCCTGCCTTCTCTCTGACACCCTCATAAGTGATCTTGGTTCCAGAATACACAAGACTTCCTTCCTGGCTTAGAGCTCTGCAGTCTTCAAACCATCTACCTAGAAAACCCTCTCTCTGAACTTCCTGGCAGAGCTACCGCCCTCTCCTCAGGCAGCACCCTATCTAAGGCAGCCCCTCAAATCACTCTTTTCATAAGTGATTAATGAATGTTTATAGCACTTATCACTCACTGAAATTGTCTTATTTGCTCTTACCCCCACCACTGGCCTGCACTCCACAAAACCATCCTCCTGACTCTTGTCCAAGAAGTAGAGTCCTTGTTGATTGTGTCACCTGTAACCCAGAAGGATCCAGCACAGTACCTAGCCCCTAGAGGGGCTCAGAAAACATTTGTCAGGTGAAAGAATGGTAAATGGAGAGCTCTGGTGGAAGCTCCAAGCCTAAGCCTCAGTCCTCTTCCTTCCCTCCACATCTTGACTCTTCGGTGGCAACTTAGTGAGACACCAGGGCGCCCAGGAACCGTCCTAGAGAATAAGACTAGAGCTCCTTAATCCCACCCTCCCTTGAAATCATAGATGATTCCTTGAACCCACCAAGTAGCAACTAACCCTGGGCAGATGGAATACAGAGAACCTGAGGACAGGTATATATATATATATATATATATATTTTTTTTTTTTTTGTCAATGGGAGATTTTAAAATAAAATGCCTCTAAACCTAGAATCATAAGATGTCAGCGAGGAAAAGACCTTGGCATCACCCAGTGAAACTTCCTACTCAATTTACCTTCTTGCCATCCACTTTTGGGTACTCTAATAATTACTTATTTCACACAACAGTGAAGCAGAGACTTTTTCCTGCTCTCTAGACTATCAAGAAGCAGGCACTGATGGCTGTTCTGGGAGTTGGGGTGAAAGGATCACTTCAATAATGGAGGTAGTTCTGACCACAAAGAAAGTGAAAACAAGAGCTGACTGCAGAGGATGTCAAAAAGAAAGGAGAGAAAGGAAGCAGCTCAGCCCTTTGGGTGAGCCCTGGAGGGAGTGTTTAAAGAACTTGTAAAATCAGGGCCTTCTCTTGACCACCCCCAGTCCCCTCCAGCAGGCCCTGGAGTCTGAACCCAGAGGCAAAGTAAAAATAATAGGAATGGCTAACCAAGATAAGAAAGAAGAAGGCAGAGTGTGGAAACAGCAGGGGTTTTCTGGACTAAAGACTCAGTTGCACCTTGTACCTCTCTGGAGATGCCCCCTGTGAAACCTGTCTTTGTAGGGCCAGGAAATTACCAATGACTCTTCCCCTCTGCAAGAAAATTCAAGAGAATGAGCCTCAGAAGTTTTTAATTTATTAATCAAATAAATAATGTCTAGCAGTCAATATGTTCTTGGTGGCTGTAATTTCTCAGCTCTTTCCACGGAAATCCATAGAAGATGAATTACGTTATATATAATCGCAGATTAGACTTACAGATTAGAAGATTATTTAAGGCATAGTAGAGAAAAAGCAATTTCTTTTCTTTCTTTCTTTTTTTTTTTTTTTTCCGTAGCTATCAAGTTTACCTCTAGGCAGTTTTTATGAAATACAACAGGATATCTTTAGTAGCTTTGATCTTCTTTGATGAAAATGGCTTATTATTTCCAGTTATTAGCATTGATAACAGCTAATGTTCATTGATCACCATGTTCCAGACACAACACGTCACTCTTTACACACATACTCCTCACAAAAATCCATCGAGGTAGACAGTATTACTATCACAAATTTTGAGATGAGAAACTGACACTTGGTTCCCCTCAGTAACTTGGTCAAGGACCCACAGTTAATAGGTGGGAAGACTGGAATGAACACCCTATATTGTCACCTATACTCTGAAAACCCATTATTCTTCTTGACATATACCACTAGCCATGCAGTCAGGAAGTGGGAATTCTAGGGGAAGTATATACACAGGTTCAGAAGTAAGTGAAGGACCAATACAATGATATCTAAGAAGAAATTTCGTATGGCTGAAGAGTCAAATGAGGCTAAATCAGTGAGCAGTATGAGGTTGAAGAAGGAGTTAGAGGCCAGATTTGGAAGATGTCATGTATAGCATGAAAGTGTTTATTTTTTTAATCCTAAAAGCAATCAGGATATTTTGCATTTCTCGTGTTGAACAAGGCAGGGTGCTACTTCCACTTTAATTCTGGAAAAAATACTACAATGAAAAGGAGGAAAATTGGATGCTGAACTGGTGTATTGGCAGAATGATGTGGGCCTGAATAGAGACAAGGGCTATGGGAATGGAGAAGCAAAGCAACATACCGAATCTCTCCTCTGAAGGAGGCCAATTCATTTGAACTTGGGATTGATTGCATGTGGGAGGGTGGGAAAGAAAAGAATCAAGGTAATTCCCATGTTTTCAAACTGGAAAAAAAAAAAAGAACAACGATGGCATTTAGAGTAATGCACTGTTTTATAGCAAAGTGAAGTGGGAAACCTAAGTTGAATTTAGGACACGTGAGTTTTGAATATTTATTTCCTCAAGATCAATGAAGACAGAAAAATGTAATCTAGATATTAGTACAGCA